AAATGGTTGAATTTTCCCGTAATTTGATTTTTTATTAAACAACTTTTGATACGGTGTTGAGTGTTGGAGAATAGGAGTGGGCATGCAGTTTATTAAATATAATGCCGCATGAAACGCAAAAGACCAATATGTAGAGGATATAGATGCATCGTGTAAAAAGGCCATACCCGTCTCTACAATATGTCTATGACGCCTTTCGGCGGACCCATTATGCTCCGGAGTGTGAGGTGGAGAGGTGAAGTGAGAAATCCCCATATGATTAAATGTAGGAATTAATTTGGTGTATTCACCACCATTATCAGAAAAAATGGAGATGATCTTGTACCCAAAATAATTTTCAATCATATTTTTAAAACTCAGAAAAACGCCATGAACATCATATTTGACTTTAAGAGGGAACAACCAAACGTATTTTGTGAAATGGTCAACAAAATTAATGTAATATCGGAACTCATCAACCGACGTGGTTGATGAGCTCCATACATCAGTGTAAACAAGTTGTAAAGGTTGTGAACTAGACATGGAATTAAAAGAAAATGACAATTTATGACTCTTATGCATATGACACGAAGTACAAGTAAATGAGTCAAGTGTCTGGCGATCAAAACTTATATTATTATTTTTTAGAATAGAGACTAAAACTTTATGGGATGGATGACCAAATTGATGATGCCACCTTGGAATTGAGGACTTGGAAGTCACATTGACTTCAGAACGCTGGACTGGAAGGCTGTAAACCTCATTCACGACCGGACCTCGTACTAGGTGTGTTCCCGACCGACGATCCTTAACAACAAAATGAGAGGCAAAGAATTCAACCGAAACGAGATTAGATTTGCAAAGTTTGGAAACAGAAATTAAGTTCTTTTGTAACTTAGGCACGCACAAAACATCGGACAAGACAAGCGACCGATTTGTAGACGGTAGAGAGACACACCAGTATGTGAAATATTTAATGACTTACCATCTCCCAAAACAATCTCGTCAGGTCCTGTATAATCTGAGCAGGTCTGTAGAGACGTAGGATCAGTAACAGTATGATGTGAGGCCCCAGAATCCATAATCCATGACTGTGTCGGCATTGAGTGGTATTCGTAGTATTCACCATAGGAGACGCACGTCCACCATTATGGTTCAAGAACATTAATATTATTATCTTTCAAAAACCTGGCAAGTTTACGACAGAACTTGGTATCATGCCCGGGATAATCACAATAATTGCAAAATCGGGTGGAACGATTTCCCGTGTTTCGCGACTGATTCTGTCTTCCATTGGACGCCGTCAAACATCCTTTGCCACGACGATTATTATTCTGCCATTGACCTTCAGCTACACCAGCGTTGGATGATGACCGTTGACCATTGAACCTTCGTTGTGTAGCATTAGCAGTGGGCATGTAGAGTTGTGTGGCAGCCTCATTATCCATCAACAATTGTTCATAATCAGTGAAGACATCGTGCAATTCATCGTATATGAGATGGTGTCAGCCCGCATACGGAGAGCCGCTACAATTCAAGATATCAGCAACCTATTCAGAAGTCTGGACATGTTTGACCCGTAGAGAGCCTGCACTAACTTGCTCACGAACAAAAAAATAATCGAGTGCCAAGTGTTTCATTCGGGAGTGAAAAACTGGATTCTTGCACACATACGAAGCACTTAAATTATTAGTAACCAGCACATGTGAACGTTGTAACCGAACCCCAAGCTCTTTTAACAAATTTTGAATCTACATGACCTCAGCAGCACAGTTAGCAAGTGCCCGAAACTCAGCTTGCGTAGAAGACCGAGACACAGATCGTTCTTTAGCAGATCTCCAGGAGACAACATTGGCACCAAAAAACACAACATATGCCGTCGTGGAGCGACCCCCATCATGAAGACCTCTCCAGTCCAAGTCAGAATAAGCCAAAAGAGAACCAGAAGGACCTCCGCGAAAGTGCAAGCCATAGTGAACAGTACCTTTCAAATAACGCAAAATTCGCTTCACAGACTACCAATGCACCTCAGCTGGGGACGCCATAAATTGAGCTAGACGATTCACTGCAAAGGAAATCTCTGGTCTGGTAATGACCAAATACTGCAACAGACCTATAGCCTGGCGATACATCGTCACATCAAAGGCTGGAGAAGTATCAGCACATAAGTCCACCGAGGGTGACATTGGCGTTGAAACTTCCTTCGGCCCCGTCATACCGAACTGGTCCAAAATATCAATCACGTACTGACTCTATGACAAGAATAATCCGTCAAACGTAGGAACCACCTCAACACCAAGAAAGTGATGGAGCGGACCCAAGTCCTTAAGTGAAAACCGATCAGCTAGGCACCGCACATACGAAGCAATGAAAGAAGCTATAGACTTCTTGAAGCCATAGGCAATAAGAAAATTAGATAGCTCTAAGTACCAAGCCCGCTGGGCTTGCTTTAAACCGTAAATTGCCTTTTTTAACTTGCATACATGGTTGGGCAAAACCAAATCAACAAAACCTTTGGGCTGCTCCATATAGACCTCTTCATACAAAGTACCATTCAAGAAGGCGTTGTTGACATCCAGTTGGCGTAACAACCATCCCTGTGACAAAGCCATTGCGCCACCGCTTGTTTGCTGGTTTTCGTAACAAGATTGGTCTCACTAATGGTGCGCCAATCTTGCGGGGGCGTGTTAAGACTTAGTAGTTTATTGTTAATAGTAGGCCTATTCTTTTGGTTGGTTGTAACTAGCTTCCTCTTCCTGTGGTTTGTATTCTATATATTCTGATGTCTTGAGATGAATAAACATGTCCCATTCAGCTCTTACACAATTGTACTTCAATTCCCATCTATCTTTCTTTCTACCTAATTTTCATTAGCTACTCTTCTTTGCTAATGTAAGAATATATGGAGTACATTCATCCGTTAATGGTTATGAGTTTATCTTGTCATCTAATAAAAAATATAAAATTAGTATTTATTTTTGTTTAATTTGTTAATACTTAATAGGCATGATAATTAAATCTTAATAAACACAATTATTTCAACAAATTAAAAATGTTAGTTATTCCATCTTCTCTATTAAAATCATTACATAATATACATGAAAATTTATAATTTATGTCTTTCATGTATAGCACAATTATAAATGTCACCCTTCAATTCTAAATGGTAGAAATATTGTCCCTGCATTGTCAAAATATGGTCATATATTGCCCCATATATGTATTATTATTATTATTATTATTATTATTATTATTATTATTATTATTATTATTAGAAAATTTGTATTTTTGTTCATAAATTGAGTACAACTAATCGTTTTGATCATTTTTTAAGTACTACTGACTCTATTACAATATAGTATATGTTCATAATTACTTTCTCACACTACTGAAGTACAAACAGTCAATATAAATCCCTATATCTTTTTGGATTGATGAGTACAATTTTAATTTGTTGACATTAAGTCAATAATCAGAGAAGTTACCTTGAAAGAAGGGATTGAATGGGTAAAGCATGGTAATTAAATCTTAACACAATTATTACACTATTATTTATAAACACGCTTGACAAAAAAAGTTATTCAATGAAAAAAATGATGGTGAAATTATATACTGCATGATCTTATGACTATTATTACAAAAAAATTATAAAAGATCATAAAATAATTAATATATTATGTTTAAATAAAAAAATATAAAATAAGAAAGAATTTGTGAGTCTAATAAAATAAGCACAATTTACATGTAATTATATTCAACAGTATTATTTAGAAGTGTTAACAACTTAAGGAAGTATCATTATCGATGACCTTGTAGTTTAATGGCACAAAGTGACTTTTTTATATGTGAGGTCATCATGAATTCAAGTTTTAGTGGGTGATATTGACATTAAAATTAACTATACAACAAATTTGTTATTCCTGTTATAATCTTGCTATTAATAACTTTTATTATATTTTTTATTTAATAATAACAAGATAAGATTTTAGATAATGATTATCAATTACAAATTTAGATATGGTATTTTCTAAATATTTATTGATTATATATTCGCAAATCGACCAACCTATAATTTTTGCGTTTACAAGTCTTCTTGTTGTATTTTATATGAATTGATAATTGGGTAGTCGATATCATGCGAAATGCAAATGAAGGAACTTTTGTAGTAGGAAATGAACTTCCATACACTTCAAAATAAAAATATCACTTGACTAAACCCGGATGAGGCCCGAAAATCAAATAGCCCTACCAGAATGTGTATTTTTGGTAAAACTTGTCCGGTTATCTTAATTTATAAATGATCATAATGAGGTAAACTAACTATCATAGATTTTTTTATAGCCAACTGACTCAAATCGAAAAGGTCAATAGGTCACTTTGTTTTAAGTCGAATTTGAAATCTTATAGTTACTAAGCTAACAAACTCGACCAACTTTACTGGGATTGCCTCATTATTTCTATTAATTTGCTTAGTATAGTCTGATACAAAACGTTACGATTGATTTATTATTAAATGTTAAATTATGGGACACTAAATTTAGACATGTAATCAATCATAATGTGTTACAACGACGCAAGATATTCTTAGCACAAATTTGAAGCCAGGAATTTACGTGGACTTGTCAAAACCGACGGCTTTTCAACTGTCTTAGTCCTTCCACGTGACTACGTGAGCATGTATGTCTAGTGTAAAGACTTATACATTGACTTGCAAGTTGCAAAAATAATGTATGGATTGTAGGACAACATTCACAACTATCAGCATTTATGTCGCACAAACAGTCTCTCAGTCAGTTCCTATTATTAACTCAAATGATCTATTTTCACACTTCCATCGACTTGAGGAGTTCAATCTTCAATCCGGCAACCCTACCTCCAAAATGTCTCCTTGTTGTTGGTGTGGTGACTTTAGGTCAGGTGGTCTACCACTTAAGCTAGCTCCGTAGGGCAAAATCTATTATTTCCTTATACTTATGTAATAGTCTTGAATCCGTGCACAATATGCCTATAAAAGGAGCCATATATAGCTCAGTTGTGTGTATACACAATCCACACATACACTACAACTACATATATATCAGCAGCCATGAATACCAAGCCCTTTTCTCTTGTTCTCATACTCCTTCTCTTGATTGTTTCGCCCCTAACATCTGCTAGGAAACTCTTTTCTGAAACTCAAGGTAACTTATTTCTCTTGCCAACATCATTCATATTTTTTGTTTTGATCTATTCGTCGTCTTTAAATTGATCAACTTTATAACAAGTTATCACATCTCCGTGTTATCTTTTACTTTATTTCAGTCTCGGGGTCAGGAGACTCGGGGCCGCCGGCAAAAGGCCATATTGGTTACAATCCTTTGAAGAAAAAACCCATATGTTATGGTACAAGGTACAGAACCTGTCTTCCTTCCCCCCCAAAAAAGCCACCATGCAATCCTTACAGACGCAACTGCAATTAAATCAAGCATGTAACCTGCGACCGGGCTAAGGATATATATATATATATATATATATATATATTATATATAAATTATTATCAAATAAATAAATGAGCTGAGCAGAAAATCTACTGTACGACAGTGTATACTAGATAAACTCACTCAAAACGTTGTATGAGAATTGTATTCCACCTATTCAGACAGACAGACACCCTTTCCAGGCAATTATTATTCCATCTTTGTAGCTAAAAGTTACTTTAATTTCCTTTGATTGTCTTATGTGATATATTAAGTATAATAAAATATAAAAAAAAATTATGGACTATTTATTTATTTATTTATTTATTTATTTATTTATTTTTGTTCGGTATGATGTTTAAATCTACTTACCATTCCAAATAGGTGGCCAAAGAATCGAACTTTGATGGTGAGATATTGATTCTTTGAGCTAAAAAGATTAAGAAAGTATAAAATAGATATTACGTTACCTTGTTAAGAATCATGTGTTTTAAAGGTTTTTGAGGATTTTGAGGATTTTCATGGAGTGTTTAAAAACACAAAAAGTCTGCTTAGCTTCTATCATATGAAAATTAAGTAAAACATAAAATTTTGTGTTCGTCTAATTGTTTTTAATATGCTTAAGAGAGTATGTTTAAATATTATTGTTCCAGTTAATCTATGAAATATAGTTAATATGACAAGTTTTAATTGATTTACAATTAAATTAGGGAGTTCTATTACATGTACTCCGATCCCTATTTCTACTCCCTCATACTTTTACTTCCTCATCATCAGACATATAATCAATTATTATTTTGACCAAAAAAAAAAAAAAACAGTATCACTCTTCATTCATTATATCAAAAAGGAATAGAGATGTCAAGTACCTTGTGCTCAGATAATACCTTTGTAACTCTCCTTGAGGGAAGGTCATAGACTCATAAGATCAAAAGACTACTGCAATAGATAGAGAAAGTATAGAACAGATACTATCTTTGTAATAGAGTCGTCAATAGTATTCAAAACAATATAATTATTAAAAAAAAAAAAAAGGAATAGATATTGAAATAGAGAATAAAAACCATTAAGGCAAATATAACATTATAAGGCAGATGCAATCAAGCTTACAAGCCAGTAAGTGCTTTAATTACATCATGCAAAAAGTAAAATCAGCAGCCACATCTGCTTTATATGAAAATCACACAGATACAAACATCATACATATAGAGTCTTTAAGTCTTAAAACTTTTCATTCATCCTTCTCCGATCCTTAGTTTTTAGCAGCAGATGACTTGCTACCTGATGTCTGCATGCAAAACAAAGAGCACAACTCATTATAATATTCACCAAATTAACCAAACAAATTAATTTGCGTAAATAATAATCCAAATCCAAAAAATAACCTAAATGGCTAAATTTTAGGAAAAAAGTGACCAATGATGATCACTTTGGTTGGTATGAGAGTGGTTGAAAAATGTGTTTTTAACCAAATTAAAAACCTTTAATTTTTAACCACTTTTTGGTGATCGGATGAAAATTATAGGATTTCCAGCCGTGACTTTTACCTATTTTTAAGTTTCAGGGGCTTCATAAAATTATTCACCAAATTAACTAAATGAATTTACAAAAACAAGAAACTTCGAACCCATAAAATTCGAGTTCACAATAACAACCTAACTGATTAAATTTTTTGACTACTAGAAAAAATGACGAGTGATCACTTTAACTAGTATCAAGAGTGGTTGGAAAAAAGGTGTTTTTTAAACAGAAACCCTCAATTTCCAACCACGCACTTGATACTTCTGAATGATCACAGGATTTCTAGCAGTGACTTTTACCTTCTTCCTGGGCTCCCGGGGCTTCTTGGGGGTCGATTTGGAGGCCGGAGCTTTGGCCTCCTTCTTGGAAGGGGCAGCAGGCTGGGAGCCAGCAGGTTTCTCAACCTTCATGGAGGCCATCTTCTGAGTTCTTCTTCACAAATAGTAGCTAATTGCTAGCTTGATGGTAGTGATGATGATGAGCTTCAGCTCCCTGTGAAGACACCTATTTATACCACTCTCTGGGCAAGTGGATTCAATGGAACCACTGAACTAGAAGCCCTTTCAAAAGTTAAGTACTGCATCTGATGCTTAGCATATAATTTAACTGCCATTATTTAGAGGATCAATTCTTATGTACCAATGTCCTTTAACAGGTATAGCTTGGCTTGTTTTTTTTTTTCCTTAAATAAAATTTGATTTGGCCTGTTGTTAGTTGAGTAGTGTATTTAGAATATATCCTCATGAAATGGAGGCTAATTTCTAGGCCTTTGCAATTGGCCTGGCACACCAAATATGCTTATCTCAAATATATGCCAAATGCTATTCTGATTTGCTTGAAGTTGCTTGATACTTGAGGGTTGGTTGCTGGGTGTAATAAATTTCGAAAGGCCGGGAACAATTGTGTAGATTACTTGGTAAATTTTTATTATATCGGGATGAAAAAAGTATGTTGTTTTCTAGAATGTCTATATATATATATATATATATATATATATATATATATATATCAAGTGAGTGTGTTGTGTTGATTTGGGTCAGATTCACATGGGCTTGGTATTATTATGGGTCATATCGTACCAGTTCACCTTAAAATGTAATACAAATAGACTCGAATTTACATTTTCGATTGTCGGTCTAGCCTGGCCCTCCTATGCTGGGAAATTATGTCGCGCAACCGTGTGTACCATGCATTGTGCACATAGAATTTGATTCATAATTTTTTATTATAAATTTATAATTTTTATATTATAGATTTATAATTTCTATATTATATATTCATAATTATTAAACTCTATATTTACAATTAAAAAACTTTATGTTCATAATTTTCAATGTTTATATTCCAAATTATTGAAATCTGTATTCACAAATTGTGAATAATGTTATTATTTAATATGTTATTTTCTATAATGTAATAGGATTAGTTTGTGGTGCTAGTTGTTTGACTTAGACTAGCCTAGTATGTAGGAGAACTTTACGTTATTTCTACCTCTTTAGTATTGTAATCCTATCTGATGAATACAGTTTGAATTTCCTCTTCTCATTTGGTATCAGTTAGCCTTACGTTAGATCCTCCTTTTTTCCCTCCCACCTCCTAAAATGTCTACCAACTCATCGGAAAGAACCGTAACCACCACCACCCCCTCCTCGGCCACCACCTCCAACCCCCTCTCGTCGGCACACCACTTTGTGTCGATCAAGCTTACGTCCCAGAATTTCTTATTTTGGCGTACGCAGTTGGTGCCCTTTTTACGTGGTCAGGAGCTCCTTGGGTTCGTCACCGGTGAGACACCGTGCCCGCCGGCCACCATCTCCTAATCCTATATGATGAATACAGTTTGAATTTCCTCTTCTCATCCAAATCACTGAACTATATATTCATAATTTGATAAATATACAGTTTAAAAATTATGAATCTATAGTATAGAAAATTATTAATCTACAGTTTAGAAATTATGAATCTATAGTATAGAAATTATGAATCTATGGTATAGAAATCATGGACCCAATTCCGTGTGCCCCTTGCATGGTGCACACGGTTGCACAGCATAACGCTCCTCGTACGTTGGCAAATTATGGTCCACACAGTGTTGTGTTGACCATAACAAAAAGTACATTTTTAATATACTAAATGTATATTATTCATATAATGAATGTACATTATACAAAATAATTTACTGTTACTCAAATAATGTACATTCTCTTAATACAATGTACATTTTTAATATACTGAATGTACATTATTTTACAATATACAAAATATGGTTCACGCAACTCGTATGGACCATGGTCCACACAATAATGATTGTCCTATGCTAGTTGCAATAGTTATTGCGTGGACCGTAGTTCACACAGCTATGTGGACCATGGCTCAAAAATGACGTCATTTTATTTAATTTTATTTTTTCACACGCTCAGCTGCAATATATATTTTTATAGCTCATACTGTACATTATTCTAAAATATAATGTATATTATTCTAAGACATAATGTATATTATTTTAAAACATAATATAAATTATATTATCCCAGATGTTTCATTATTCTAATACGTAATGTACATTATTCTTAACAAATAATATACATTATTTTAACACATAATGTATATTATTTTTACTCATAATATTCATGACGATATTTTTGGACCGTGATTCACACAGCTAGTTGCCTACTTGCAATAATTTGCCTACTTGCCTTTGGCATCATAGCTTGGCATTTTACTATTTTAAGTAGCTCACAGAAAATGGGAACTCAGATAGACAGATACAGAGGAAAGATGTTACATCCCACTAGAAAAAAAAGAATATCATTTGAAGAATAATAAGTTTTTTGTACACTGTTTTTCAGATAGCAGATTTGAGTTCAAATCATCAGTAGCTTATTACCCCTGGTTCCCAATCAGATGTATCAAAAACTAAAGGAATAAGATTTATGGACCCCGAGATTGTAAGACTGTCACGCATAGTATCCTGATTTTATTGATAAAAGAAAAAGAAAAATGAAAATCATATCTACTCCGGCAATTACTCTCGAAAAGTGTGCATTGAGTAAACTCTTTTTTTTTTTTTTTATCTTAGCGGACGGGGATCACAAGGAGATAAATCAGTTTAGATTGTCTACGGCTCAAACCAAGAAGGTCATAGGTCACCCTCCTAGCTGGCAAATGACCACAAAAAGGTAAACTAGCATAGATTGTCCATAGTTAATCGACTCAAACCAAGAAGGCCAATAGACGGCTCTCTGTGAGTCGAACTTAAAATCTTGTGATTACCAAGCCAACAACCCAACCAACTTGTAACATGATTTATTAACTGAAAGTACATAATATGTTAACTGCAAGTACATCATCTGAATGTGTCGTGGATCTTGGTCCATTGTATAACAATTGACTTGGAACTTTTTTTGTTTTTTTGGATGAATCAGAGTATGTCATGTAAGTAGTGAGTAATAACTGGAAGTGGAAGTAGAATTACTGGAAACTAATAAACTCATTATAAATTAATTGCTTAGAGTAAATACATATCAAATTTACACTTTAATTCTCAGAGTGACTGATGAGATTCCAGAAGACATCTCTTAATCAATATTACTCCCTCCTAATAACCTCTGTTGTGTTCAGATTATTATAATCAGCTCCCATAAACATCCTTAAAACTATCGAACCCTCAAGGCAACATAGGCCAAGATCCTAAACCCAACAAGCATGGCACCCAAAGCAGCAACATCAAACATCATGTTACCAATGTCAAGACACTTAATCCCTTCAAAATCCCTCACCCTACACTGCCTCCCAACCCCACACTCATAAACCTCATTTGCAGGGTACTGAACCCCCACAAGAAGCTTATAACTGAAGTGGCTAAAAGATGTGTATTTCATCCAGGTGAGGAAAGCAGGGATGTGTTGAATGTAGTACCCACTCACCAACAAGAACACGAGCATGGTGACCGATGAGAGCGTGGCGGCCTGCTTAACGTCCATCAGGATGGCCCCGAGGGCGAGGCCGAGGCTCTGGGAGACGAGCACGTTGAAGAGGATGATCAGGAGGGTTAAGGAGAAGGTGAGGAGGGAGGGCTTTAGCCCGCCCATCCAGTAAGTAACGGTGACGAAGATGGTGGGGAGGATGAGCTCCATTGGCAAATCTCCTGCGGTTCGGGCAAAGTAGTAGGACGAGAGGCGGTACATTCCCGAGGAGCGTTCCCGGATGAGCATTGGGCGTTCTTGTGGGAAGGCGAAGATGGAGTTGAACATTGGGAAGAATCCCCAGAAGATTGAGAAGAAAAAGAGTAGTCCCACCTGGGAGAATTAGGGGAGAAATAATGGTTATGTGAAGTTGGGAAAGAAAATGCAGAATATTTCCAGAGGTTATAAGTTATGATGAGTACCTGATCTTGAATGTGGTTTGTGTCACAGTGCCACCATAGAAGCCCTGACAGAAATGAGACAGACACCACCTGGAAAATCCTCAGCCCAGAAAAGGATTCATGTCTTCTTTCCTTCAGGCCTCTGCTCAACAACACACTGAACTGCAGCCACCAGCTTGTTGTCCATTGTTCTTCAGAACCTTAAAAAACATAACAAAAAACCTATGTAATGAATTCCCATTTGGGCAACAAAAACCTCCCACACCTATGTTGGTTCTGCTATTTACTTGATAATCACAAAGTTACAAATTCAATTCTAAGTGAGAGCGATAGACAGAAAACCAAAACTAATTGACTTTCTTGGTTTGGGCTTGTTGACAACATTGACCTTCTAAATTTGAACCGGTTACCAGTTCGACTTGACTGACCTATTAGTTCTTTTAGTTTGAGCTAATTAAGTATGGATAACATTAGCCTTCTTGTTTTGAGTCGGGTACAAGTTCAACCTTAAGCAGAAGCGACCTATTAGCGTTTTTAGTTTGAGTCGGCCAGCTATGGATAACCTATAAGTAACATTAGTCTTCTTGGTTTGAATCAGTTACAAGTTTGACTCCTAACAAGAACGGCCTATTGGCCTTCTTAGTTTAAATCAGCTATGGGCAACCTATAGGCAACATTGGCCTTGTTGGTTTGAGTCGGTTGCACCGACCAGGAGCAGCTTATTGGTCTTCTTAGTTTGAGTCGATTACAAGTTCGATTCTCAACGAGAATGGCTTATTAACATTCTCGATTTGAATCGGTTATGGGTAACCTAGGCTAGTTTACCTTGTTGTGATCATTTGCCTGTTAGGGTCACAAGACGAGTTTACCCAATAAATAATGACTACGGGTTTCCTCTTCCACCTAAAATGCAGCAATACAGAGATATTAACATACTTCTCAATGGCGAATTTCGCCTGCCTGCTGGAATTGAATCATGAGAGCTCCTCTCCACCTCCTCCTTCTTAACACTCTTCTTGTAACAGGAAATCAAGAACTGCTTAGTTGAAGTTTGGTTGTCAGCATTCTCTGCCCTTCCAACCAATTCATGTTGATCATCCTGCCTTGTATCAGGGGCTATACCTGCAACGTACACTTATTGCCATGAACTCAAAAATCCCTTTTTTGAGAAAAGTATTGAACAAAACATGAATGATTAGCACAGAATCAAATCAAAATGCACAGATTAGCTGTAATCTACACAGGTCAATATGTTTCCCTAATGGGACCTGAAAGAAAAGGAGAAAAAGAGAAACCAAAGTAGAAAAGCTGTAATAACATGAAGAAAGCAGAAAAGCAGTCAATTAACTTTTGCTCATTATTTCATAATTGACTAACTTTTGATTAAACAAGTGGCCACAATTGTAAAGCAAAAGATGAAATAAAGTATGGTTTTATTATTACAATTATTTTTAGGGGGAAAAAAAAAAAAGCCACCCGTGTGCCCTATTGGGAACGACCTATTGGACTTCTTGGTTTGAGCCAGTCAGCTACAGACAATCTAAGCTAGTTTACCTCTTTATGGTCCTGACTA